GAGCCGATGTCAAAAGCATCAGTAGGCATTTATCCACTGATGACTGCCGATAGACAATATTTTTTGTCGTTCTTTGACGGCTTGCAACGAAATTCAAGAAATACGTACCAACAGAATATGCCACTTACTTGACGTTACCGTATTCACTGGCTGGGAACGCAGTGTGTATGTGTAATGAAAAAATTATTCTCCAAGCACGTCCTCAAATTCGCAATCAAAGTACTTCGTAAATAGTATATGATTTTGCGCATCTATTTTGTAGTTTTACTTACATTCAAGTTCTTTTCCTAGAAAGAAGGCAGAATACTTCGTTCTTAAATTCCTTTTGGGGTGCCTTACAGTCATTGACCGATTACATGTGATGTTAACCGAAATTCCGAAACGTATTTTCGATTAGGAAATATGACTCAAATTGGTGAAACTATCGATCATAATGCGGCACCATCCTATGATATTTTAGATATTCCTGGATGCCAACTTTTGAATATACTTCTTGTCTGTCGCCTGTGAAAACGTCACTCGGTACAAAAATGACAAATCAGACAGCAGCCATTTCTTATATCAATTTTGGATGTTCTGATAAATTCGAATATATTTGCTTGTTACTTTTTGCTTACTATTCCAGTGATATGACTGGCTGATGACGGCTTATAAGCCAGAAATAGCCGTTCCAGTCTCCCTTGTCTTTGCTAAGAATACTAACTTACGTGTTTATTTTATCGAGTGCGGTTTATTCCGGTAGCTGAAAAGTCTTGCCGGAGTATCCTCACGTGTCTGAAATTCCTCCAGGTTAACGAGTAACACAAGCCAATTCTTCATCCTAAAGAAAGGAACTCCGTGAGAAAACGTGCGACTTGACGTTTTATACTTCTACATTGCATTCGTGACTGTCTTCTTTTAGCGAAATTACGGAAAACGTTATCGTAACTAGGCGAGCGTATTTTTGTAAAGATATACTTATCATCTGGAATACGATTGTTACTGATACGTTTTCAGTACGCATGTAATAAGGGTCATTTTTTGTTCCCCTTCTGATGCCCAGCCAATTGACGATTCCGTGGAAGATGGTGATGCTGAT